TTTTTTCGTCCTTGACATACCAGCGAGGCAGAGTTTGACAAACTGGTTCCCTCTCCTCTAAACTATCTGCGTCATCGTGATCTTACAGGCATGCAGCACCTCGTCGAGTGCGTTTGTGTCGGAGCAGATGAGAAGAAGCATTACCTCTGCACGCTCTGCGGCCTAACAGTCGGCGCCCACATGATCATCAAACACGTCCTGAGCTTTGACCACATCTTTTGGTATTTTGTAAGTAGCAGTGGCATCAAAGACCATATTAATTAAGTTAATTGCTTGAGATGAGTTGTAACTTAGAGGATTTCAAATTGTACAGTTTGAGAGTTCAGCTGAGTTGTTTAGAAGGCAATCAGATGATTTGAAGTAGTCGGGCTAATGTAATGGGAAGTTAAGATTTGAGATATGAGTGGATGCGTCATCATGCAGACTTTCAAACTCTTCATCTTCAAATTAAACTACAAGACTGACTCACACTGAGCTCACACTCCTCACCTATCTCTAGCCCAAATCCTTCAAAGAGCAGCTTTCCTCGTCGCCTTTTTATTGACAACTGTTACAATACACATCACAGCAAAAGCACCCCCCCTTGGTTACAAAGACAAGGTACTGTGTGTGTGCGTGTGTCTCTGTGTGCGTGACTTCCTGCTCACCAAAAGGATCATAAAAGCGGGAATTAACATCAAACAGAATCTTCACAAGGGATGTGCTTGTGATAAAGCCTCCCCCAGCATGGAGTGGCTGGAGAGGTGGTCAGAGACAAAGGAATGTCTTGATCCTATAGATTGAACTATAACTTTACAAATTTAAGAAACACAATGACACATTCAACAATTAGACTTAACATAAGGGATCACTACAGGTTTTCGCTTTGGCAGCGGTTGTCCTTCTCTCCTGGATCGGCTGGAGCTTTCTTTTGGCGCCTTCCCAGCTTTGACAAAAGTCCAGCTGGGATAACCACATTTACTCAGGGCCTTCTTGGTGTGAGGTTCCTCTTCTTCCCTGGCCACTGTGTCTGTGGGGATGGTGTTCGCTCTATGTTGTAACATCCTAATGACACCCAGTTTATGTTCCAGTGGATGATGAGTGTCAAACCTTAAATGCTGATCTGTATGTGTAGGTTTACGGTACACATCAGTTTTAGAGGTCCCCCATTACTGATGGAAATCTCACAGCCTAAGAAGGCTAACCTGCCACTTTTCATATCCTCCCTGGTGAATTTGATGTGTCGATCCACCGAGTTAATGTGATCCGTGAAATGTGGTACGTCCTGAGATTAGATTTTCACCCAGGTGTCATCCACATACCTGTTTCTGCCTGTAGAACTGACACTTGTATGTGAAGTAGGTGGAATTAAGACCGTTCTAAAAGGAAACACACTTGGTTTGTGAATGGTACTCATGGCCATTGATCAGTGGGCTTTGATCAGTGGTTGTTGATCAATGGTCATGAGAATTTGCATAATTATGATGAAGAAACTGACCTCCCAGCCCATTGTTCCTTCAGTGGGCTGGCTTCAGTCATTATGCAAATGTACTGTTTATAAGATTGGGGAAACCTGCAGTCAGCTGAGACTGAAGAAGTCACTTGGATAAGTGACGAAACGTTTCT